GTGTTATGTCAAAGTCATGGCTGCCTTTCAAGTAAACACTAGCACCCCGGGTCAGATTTGGACCGACGATCTCAATACCGACTTAAACGGTAATCCTATCGCTATGGAGGAAAATTGGGAAGACCATATGCTGAGAAGGTTGACGATGGCTCCTAGAAAAAGGATCACCAACCTGAAGCTAACAAATTTTCTTCATGAGAATAAACGTTACATGAAAAAAGAGTTTGCTATGCCTAGCGAACGCATTTGTCATTACCTATTTGACAAAAAACAGCGGGTTGTTACCTTGTACACAACGGAATCTGGAGAGCCGCACAGTCTGGATGACCCCTGTCTGATCTTACCAGTTAAAGACTGGTTCTTATTCTACAATCATGTCTGGCCGGATATCCAGAATTCTAAACAGGAGCCGTTGTTTATCGCCGAGTGGGATTCTGAAAAACCGAACAATCGATTTCGAGTGGTTGGAAACAACTGTGAAAAGAATCCTAAAGACTGTATTTTCATATTCTTGTGCGATGACAAGACAAAGCTTCGTGAGCGTTCTGGCATAATACATGCTGATGAGCATAACGAGCGATATGAAATGTTGCTCCCTATCCTCTGGCAAGACGTCAACAAGCTGTCTGAAATTTTTGCCACCATAAACCAATTGTTCAAATGGTGTGACATGAATGATCGATACAAGGATATTAAAGTTCAGCTGTTTCACCCCCAGAGGTCTGTGCGACGAGGGAGGGAACACTCCCAACTGTCTCCGCCCATCTACTACGAACATAAAAACCCATAATCAACAACTGTTCACCACAGTACTACAACATGTCTCAACAACTCTCTTCAGAATTTGGTATCTTCAAGCCTGAGGATATCAAAGCAATTCCTCCTGATGAAAACGCTTTGCCATGCTTTCCGAAATTCGGAACTTCTGCATTAGATCGCGACTTACCATGCTTTGAGCTATTCAAATCTTCTGAACCGGACAACGATGAAAAAAACTGGCTGGATAAATTTTGCACCGAACTAGGATACCGTAACCTGACATACCTGACCAACAAGTACAAAAAAGATGACGATACAAAGTTTGACGTCACAGATGGATGTTTCTGCAGTTCCGGTTTCAAGATCATAAAAGCGCTGATCGCTGTGCTCATGCAACACATCATCAACGCTCAGCTGAAAAAGGAATGTGAGGGTTGTGCTATCGACCACCCCAGCCAGCTGCAACACTCCTGTCTGTTTGAACCCTCAGCATTCTACTTCGACTCTCACTTTGCAACACTCGTCAATAAACTGATCAAACCTGAGTTTCACACTGCTGTGTCACAGGCTATGCTGCGTGTTGGCTTAAAGTCACAACCTCAGACGATCCACGGAACAGCCCTGGGTATTCTACACGAATTGAGGAGCGAACCATTCATCGTTGCAAGACTGGAAGACATCAGAACCAAGATTCTGGACGACTCCTGTGAGAAAATCGTCAGTGACGCTGTCGATTTCTGGCACCGCAGTGGCTAGACCTCAAACCAGCTGAAAACACCACAATGGGAAACACATGTAAACCTAGCAAGATACTTGAAAACTTTTTATTAGAGTACTATAAAAATCAGTTAAATGGTCTTTTATGTAAAGTCATTAATGATTCCACGAATGATGATCGTTTATCACAATCCAAACGTGTGATGAATTTTAAAAAAGAAATGAATGTTATTAGAAGTATGAATAACTCATGGGACAATATGATTGATGTTTGTATTAATGCTAACGAACCATGTTCTATTATGATTAAAAGAGTTTTAGATGCTATGTCTGAAGTATCTGATCAGTTTGGAGTCGGTGATGTTCTCTGTATGTCTACCTATGTAACAGATGTATGCATTTCGTTGATTGCAAAAAATGATGATGATGATATATCTGAAATTGTTGAATCTTTGGTCACTTACATTTTAGATAAAAACATGTCATCGTGTGTCCAATTTCTTTCTTACCTTGACCGCATGTAACCATTTTCTGATTGATGGCATGAATGTTTCCTCGCTTTAAATAAAAAAAGATTCGTACAAACAATGTTTTGCATTATTCTTTGACAACCATCGAAACAGGACCATGTCTGATATAATGAAGAAAGTTTATTACGACCCATCAAGCCCCGGTGCTTTAGGTGGTAAAAAACGTTTAAAAGATGCTGTGTTTAAGGAAACTGGAGTCCGTCTAAGCGATAAACAGGTATCGGGATGGTTGGCCGGGGAAGACGCTTACACTTTACATAAAACAGCACCCATAAAATACAAACGAAATAGAGTTGTGGTATATGGTATGGATACCCAATTTCAAGCCGATCTCGTTGATATGACGGCATATTCTACGGAAAACGATGGTAATAAATTTATGCTAACTTGTATCGATGTATTCAGCAAGTATGCATGGAGTCGGGTGTTGAAGAATAAGAGTGGAGTCGAAGTTACTAAAGCGTTCGAGTCTATACTCGAAGAGGGTCGTGTCCCACGGAAATTACAGACTGATCAGGGAAAGGAATTTTTCAACAAACATTTTCAAGATCTTATGAAAAAATATGATATTAATCATTTTGCTACGGCTACTGATTTAAAGGCAAGCGTTGTGGAGCGATTTAATAGAACATTAAAAAGTAGAATGTGGCGATTTCTAACGGCCACTAATTCACGGCGTTACATCGATGTCTTACAAGACCTTATGACAGGATACAACAACAGTTATCACAAGACTATTAAGATGAGACCCATTGACGTCTGTAAAGAAAATGAAGCTACGGTGTTTCAAAACTCTTACGGTAACATAAAGATTCAGAAACCAGTGTTCAAATTTAAAGTCGGTGACGTGGTTAGGATTTCTAAAGTGAGAGGCCCCTTTGCCAAAGGTTACGAACAAAACTATACCGAAGAATTTTTTACCGTTTCTGAATGTATTCCACGCCAACCACCCGTCTACAAGCTCAAAGATTATGACGGAGATGTTATCGATGGAGTTTTTTATGAGCAAGAGATACAGAAAATATTTGTAAATAAAAACAAATCGTTCAAAGTGGAAAAGATTTTAGGCGAGAAAAAGCAAGGGAGGTCTACACTTGTTTTAGTGAAATGGTTAGGATGGCCATCGAAATTTAATAGCTATATCGACAAAAAAACCCTGGTAGACTTGCAAAAACCTTAAATTTCACATTTCCTTTCATGGCTATTTATTATTATACAAATCAAGCTATGGACAACAACGGGTTCTACGTTACGCTCCCGTGTAACGCTTCTTTATCCGTTTATCCAGAAAATCGTATATCTAGTTATAAGACTAATTTGTCTAAAACTATACACCTGAAAGGGGAATGGGAAGTAGCGCTCGCTGAAATTGAATATCCTAGAAGTTGGTATAATATTACAGACGATGATGGTATCTTCAACCTAAACATGTACCCTGACCATGATAATGAAGAGAAAAAAAAACTAGTAGCAAATGTACAATCAGATCTACATGGTTTCTATGTTTCCAGGCGATATCAAATACCCGGAGGATACTATAAGGATATACCGGCTGTGATCAAAATGATAAACGATGCAATCAAACCATCAGGGATATTGTTTTACGATGAATTAAAAAATAAAATTAATCTGGTTGCAAAACCTAACATTTTTATAGGTTTCTATGAGAAACTAGGAGCTATATTAGGAGTGAGACCTGAAGAGGGACTAGGTCAAACGGCCTACCATGAAAAAGCTGATTTTACCAGGACCGTCAGCACATATGCACCTCATCAAGCCGACATCAAAGGTGGATTCTACACATTATATGTCTACACCGATATCATCGACTACCAATCAGTCGGTGATTCATACGTACCACTTTTAAGATGCGTACATATAACCGGTGAAAACAACGATATCGTCAGTGTCAGATACGACAAACCGCATTACGCATCAGTCAACAAATCGATCATCACGGACATAAACATAGAAATAAAAGACGATCAAAACCGAGAGGTGAGATTTGCGTACGGTAAAGTTATTGTGAAGCTACATTTTAGACCGGTGAAACAGACGTCTCTTTAAAAATGCCTTATTACAATACACATCAAGGCGAAATCAGCGATTATGTCAACTACTACCAAAATCAAGCTGGGGGAGGCCTCCCGGGCTATGCAGGCGGTGGTGTCATGTACGGATCAGGTCTGGGAGGGTTATTTAGAGGTCTGTTTAGAATGGCTGTACCATTGTTAAAAAAAGGGTTCAACATCGCCAAGCCTCACTTGAAATCGGCTGCAAAAAACATAGCATCGGACGTAATTTCAAACGTGCTTTCAAGAAATCGTGACGAGAGACAACAAGACGGTTCAGGTCTTATGGTCATGGCCCGTAAGAGAATGTCTAAACCACCAGGGGTCAGGAGGCGTGGTCGTGCTATAAAGAAAAAGCCCACTGTCAAGAAAACTTCACTCACACGCAGGAAGCGTAAGAAGACTGTAAGACGGAATACCTTTGCTAAGAGAAACATAAACACCATTTTCTAACATGGCTCTACTCCATCGTATGTCCGGAGAGTGTATTAAGTCAGAGCTTGACTTATTTACAGTACCTTTAACACAGACGGCTATAGAAAAAAATACATATGTTGAGGTACCTCCTCTATCAGCCATCTCGGATTCGTCGCCTTTGGAGTTTTTTATAGCAGGCTCCGGTGAGGAATACATCGATCTAAATAACACATTGTTGCATCTGAGACTTAAAATCACAAAGCCTAATGGTGGTGAAATAGCAGATCCTGCAAAAGTCGGTTTAATCAATTACCCCGCCGCCACCATTTTCTCACAAGTCGACGTGAGTCTCGGAGATCGACTAATCTCTCAAAGCTCAAGCACCCACCCGTACCGATGTATCATCGAGAGTCTCATCAACTACGACAAAGACACGCTGGAATCAACATTCAGCGCCGGTCTCTTCTTCAAAGACACGGCTGGTCATATGGATGTCAAAGACCCCTTAGGCAATAATCAGGGTCTCCTGAAAAGGTCAACATACACAAGCAGGAGTAAGATTGTTGATCTGATGGGACCTATTCACAGCGATATTTTCTTTCAAGAAAAATTAATGCTCAATGGCGTCGATATAAAAATTCGTATGATCAGAGGTAAAGACGAGTTCTGTCTGATGAGGAGTGATGACGTAGCATATAAATTAAAAATTGTGTCTGCATCGCTATTTGTCAAGAAAGTATCAGTCGCACCGAACGTTCGACTGGCCCATGCTCAGGCTTTGCTATCCACCAACGCAAAGTACCCGATTGACAGGGTATGTCTGAAAAATTTCTCCATACCAGAAGGAGCACGAGTTTCAAATCAGGAAAATCTATTTTTGGGGACTTTACCGAAATCAATCGTCTTGGGGATGACCGATAACGATGCATTTACCGGTTCTTATGATAAAAACCCATTTGCATTCAAACATTACGATTTGGAGTTCCTAGCCATCTACGTCGACGGACAACAAATTCCTGCTAAACCTCTACAGCCAAATTTTACAGACGGCTCAGTGGTACGAGAATTTTATCAACTCGTAACAGCTACCGGCAGACATCTTAAAAATCATGCACTGTCTATCAGCAGATCTGAATTTGCCAGGGGTTATTCTCTTTATGCATTCAACCTTACACCGGACGAAGACTGCGGTCAACACGTTTCTCTCATAAAGTCTGGAAATATCAGACTCGAAGCCCGTTTCAGACAACCATTGACAAATACCATAAACCTCATCATCTACTCAGTGTTTGACAGTATCATCGAGGTGTCTAACCGAAGACAGATTCTGGTTGATTACTATTAATCGGAAATGAACACCATTCAGCTAAACGCTATCATGGACAAAATTACATGTAACACCCATTTTCTCGGAACTCTGGCATCTGATCAACTACCTGAAAGACCGTTAACAAACTTACCATCGATGGTGATTATTAACACACACCCTTCAGAACTACCTGGGGAACACTGGCTAGCCGTTTATTTATCGGAAGATGGTGTCGGATGTTTATTTGACAGTTTCGGTAACAAACCGGACAGTGATGGATTTCCAATAGCTATTAAAAACTTTTTAATGAGAAATAGTACAGTGACAAGATATTCTACAAAACGTGTCCAGGACTTTATGTCAAATGTGTGTGGTCATCACTGTGTTTTTTTCTTGTATCATATGTCTAGGGGTCGTGACTACAACTATGTGATGAATCTGTATAGTGAAAATTATGTTAAAAATGATAAAATGGTAGAACTTTTTGTGAAAAAACTAAAAGCTAATGTTTGCAGTGATAACATGTATTTGTGTAACCATTGTGTTCAGACCTGTATTTCTTCCATGATGTATAAATGAATTTAATGAGTAATAAAAAAAAACCTTACAATCATCATCTGTTTGTTGAATTTTATTTCAAGATAGTGATACACAAAACATAAAAAACATGAAACATGTTGACATTAAAAATGCATCCATCGACTCTTATCACGAGTAGGTGAAACAAACATGTCCTCTTCTAGTAGTTGTGTCCTTTGCTGATTTTTTCTCTTTTTACGCGTAGTTTTTTTAGTAGACAGAATCTCCTGATCATCGTCAATAGGGTTGTTTTTTAAACTAATAATCTTACTCCGTACTTGTTGGTTTGGTATAGTCGAAAAAGGTATGTTTAATTCTGCGCATGCTTGAAGAAACTCCGTCCATCCTTTAGGTCTTCGGTCATCTCGTACTTGTTGCGGAGCTGTAACATTGTTTATTAAATCGAGCATGTGTGAACCAGGTATGGTTTTACCCTTAAACACAAACTCAGCAGACTCGGACCAGGAGCTGAGATCTTTAGCTTTAGACATTTTGTCTAATATATACTTGCTGTTTTTCACACGTTTTGTCGGAACGTTCTTTAGAACTTCAGACGTCACATCATCTTTTGAGTTGTCTTCAGCATGTGTTTCGTCAGAGTTAACTTTATGTTCGTCTTCAGGGTTTGGTAGCGATAGCGTTAAAACACTACTCTCACGATCGCCTAGTTTAACAATTGTTAAATATCTGGTTAAGATGTTTGAGTAAAGTTTAACTTTTTCACGTTGATCCAAATCAGTCCTGAGTAAAATATTTCTTATAGCCGTATCAAGATCGTTCTCTACAACCTGTTGAATATTTTCACGAGCGCTTGTTGATTGTATTTTGTCCAGCTGATTCTGTGGTACGAGATACATTTTCTCTGCATACTCCATCCTTCAGCCCTGTCTAGAACCGATCAAACTTGAAATAAATGGTATAGCGACGCTTAGGAGCGGTAAAAGAAACCCGCCAGTCTGATTAAAGACCTTTTTCTTAGCCGCAATGTTGATTTTTTTATTAGCGAGGAATTTTATCGCAGCCCTCTTCTTTTTCAATTTTCTGTATTGTTGGTTGTTGATCGGTATAACTCCGTGTAGGATGTTGAGAGCGAGTTCGCAGAGAGCTAAAATGAGATCGTCAGATGCTGACTGGAGAATAAGTCGTCTTTGTTTACCTGTAGATTTATGTAACATTTTTAATACAGGTAAATGTTTACATAGTCTCGCGGACATGGTTCGTTATCACGATCTTCTTTTTTTCTGGAGATAGACCACCTGACGATCTGAAAACAATCCTGTTCTGAGTCGAAATTGTTCAGGTGTTTTAGCTTTATAGTCAATCATGAGATACCCGAAAGGACTCTTGACGGCATCTTGATAACATTCCATAAAATATTTTGTGTTACCAGGATACATTTGACGCCCCAACACCGCTACTTGATTAGCATCACGGGGGTTTTTAAACAATATTAAATAATTTGTGTTCAAACTGATGGTTCTGCTGGATTTACCTTGAACAAACAAATTTTGCACAATAAGAATTGCAGAGAGATTACGATGATGAACGTATTGCGTGAAGACTTTTTCAATTTCGGAATTACCGCTTGCTTCTTTCATCATATCGTCGATAATCAACAAGTTTGTTTTATCACGAGGTAGTAGATGATCATCATTCAGACTCTGAGGTATACCTTCAATGAATTTAATGTCATACAATTTAAGCAATTCGTCATACAAAGGTTGCCAACAGTCATACATGAAAACAACATTATCAATTTTTTTAGAAATCATATTTACAGCATTTTCCAATAACATTTTTACAAAAAAGGACTTCCCTGAATTGGATGGTCCACTTATGACACATGAAAACGGATGTTGAAGTCTGAAATCAAAATCAACCATTTCACGCATTCCTCTATACATTGAATTAAAAGCCATAAGGTAGAGTTGTGTAGTCAGGTAAAAGTCTTCGCTTGTTATACACCACCTTGAACTTTTTAACGACTGATTTGTTGTGGAGTGTGAGGTGTTTTTTATTCCTGACAATGTTGTCAGCTTGAGCTAAAATGTATCGAGAGTCATCGCCTGATGTAACATACCCATCAACCAGACCAATCAATGTGTCTAATCTTATCGTTTGGGAATTTTTAGCATTCAGAGTTATACCCTTAGCTTTCATGCAGACTTTACCGGAAGCGGTACGGTAACCATACGACTTTGGTCCGCTGGAACAAAACTCGGTAATATAATCACCATCGCCTATTTCATCTGTCAAGTCCCCCAAATAATCACCCAGAGGTGGCATCCAGTCACCGGCCTTGGATACAAAAATAACACTATCTGTGTCAGAGTATAATAAACGATCGCCAAGTTTGTCCATCAATTTGTACAATTCTAACCGCGCCCACGAAGTTGTGTACGCTCCTATGAATACGTTAATGTCACGAATAATGCGATGACTATCTTCGGTAGGGTGAAATTGGACTAACGCTACATCATCTGAGATGAAAGTAAAATATTTCAATGCATCAGTTTTACCGAAAACAATCGTGGTGAATTCTTCAGGGTCTCGTACAAGTTGCGTAACAGAATGCTGAGACTGCATCGCGAAACGTCCCCAAACTGCATTTAAAATTAGCTTGTTTATAGCCCTTTGGGCCGGGTTATGAGTGATCTGTGAAGGGTCAAGTTGAATCCCCTCTCTCTCATAGTATTTGCGAATGTATGTCTCTTTTTCAGAATCAGTGGTAACGTTTGAAGGGTATCCGGATGCTTGTTGTTTTAAACGTAAAAACGTTTTAACGTATTCGCTAAACAACTTGTCTGACCTTTCAGGAAAATGCCAAACTTCGTCGACTTTGACCACGACATACCCTTTCTCAATCGCTTTTAAAAGTTCAACACTGACCCACGACCCACTAAGGGCCCTCTCATCATCCGTATGATTACATCTCGATGTTTGGTTTTCATCGTGTGCGCATGTTCTGCATAACGGGAACATGAGTTTACCGCCGCATCTGTAAGGGAGGACCGGATGTAGTAATTTTCGGGGCGGATACACAGTTGCCTTAATAAGACCGTAATAATTTTCGATCGGCTGAAAGTCGTTGAAAATTATTTCGGGGTGCCCTATTGGATACGTCTTTGTACTCATAACAAAGGGATAGAGAGATGTGACATCCAGATAAGAAATGGTCTCCCCCTCCCCCACTTTGTGATACAACTTATAAGCATTGGTACGACCTCCGAAAAGCGCATCTCTTGGTTTCAGTCTTTCAGGCACCGAATAAGTGCTCATAAATTCTATCACTGAAGGGTCTGTTTGTTTCATTTTAGACCATTCGCATTCCCAGATAATCTCTACTTTTAAGCCATAAGCGTTTTGTAGAATTTCAATTTTTTCGTCAACTTGACGTCTGAGAACACCAAAGGGTACACCCGACATGGGGTGGAGTTTGTGAGGCTCATAACGGCATTGGTGCGCATGAAACAGACACCCCAAAAAATCAAGGCCATACCTTGAATCGTCCTGTTCGTAGTAGCCGTCTAAAAAGTATTGACCAATTTGCATTTCACCATGATTCAGAGCATGATGAATGTCAACGTTTCTAGTCTTTTTTAAATACTCCAACCATTCAATCGAGACACTCGAGAATGTCTTATTTTGCCGAATGTATGCATTTTCATGGGTTAGAGCAATAGTGTGGTCTTTCAGATAGTGTGTCTTGAAAATTCCCATACAACAACTAGGAAGAGTTGTGTAACTAAATGGATCGATTTGTGTACACTCTATGAACGATTCTCTGTATGTCATGCATGCTTCACGGAGCAAGACAACATCATTTACACCATATTGGCACAACTGTTCCTTGAAGTCGAAAACCTCCCCTGAAGTAGTAGCGTACCACGCATCGAACTTTGCCTGATCTTTTTCCGATAGGTTTTCGTAACCATAATACTTTTTGTCAGGATAAGGTCCTACGTAGTTCTCATTTTCTAATCTATTGAAATGATGCGGAAAGTAGCCTTTTTCTGTTGTGGTGAGATTTAATGCTGCCGGCATCTTAGACAGAGCCATCGGTATGAAGGATATGCTATCTATATAGCGTTGCTTAAATGAAACATCGAACATGAAGATTAATTTACATCCTTTCATGATGATGTCCATTTGAAGACCTGCTTTACAAAAATATTCAAGAATTAGAAAGGAGTCAAATCCGGATGCATTATGAGCTATGAAACAATAGCCTTCGTATTTGGGTTTTCTGAAATGATCGATCATTTTTTTCACACAGTCAGACCCCCCGGCTACAAATCTTTCACCACAAAACGTTATTGCGCAGACAAAATTTGCTACGTGTCTCCCATTTTCATAACGAGTCTCGAAATCGTAAAAGATGTATTTATTCTGAGGGTCTTTGAGTGCTACTGTTTTAATAAAACACTCATGTTCTCCACCAGGGACAAGTTCTTCACGACATGCACCACAACGGTTTGGTGCACATATGTGTTTAGACATTTTCTTATCGTACCGTCTATTGCATTTCTTGCAGTATTTTATAACGTTGCAAGGTACTTTTTCTCCTTCAAGCATAGGTTTCTTATGAGCTTGGTAGCAGTAAGAAGATTTGCAGTAGCGCAAACAATCGGTACAATGAATGATTTTTTTAGGATGCTTGTAACATTCGCTGTCAAAGCAGACGTTACAGACATGTTTGCATTGATGATTTCGCAGCGATGTGTACCCCTTATAGCAGAATTCACACACAAAGTTAGCACCTATGAATGATTTCAGATTGAGAATCATGTAGTAATGTTCGTCTTGTAAATAAAGGTACACCGTTTTGTCGTGAGGTTCGGTGTTATTTACGTATGTTTGTAACACACCGGTGTTTGTCCTATAAAAAACAACAATCTTGATGTCAAGCATGTTTTCAAATTTTGCTATGTCATGAAAACCAACCTTGTCTTGGATAGCAAGACCCACTTTATTGTGTATGATTGATGCATGGTTTTCTAATTCACACTCAGGTAATTTAGGGTCTAGAAAATGTGCTATACAGATAGAGAAACATAATTTGTTTGAAATATTTGTAGGTATAAACAAGCTCGTCTTTTTTCTTTTGATTACCTGATCAAAAGCCAAATCCGTAAGTTTACGGCGACCTCCTCCTAGTCTGTTCATTACAACCTCTGCTTCAATCTCAACAGTTTCGTTAGCTGATAACCGATCATCGCTCTGTAAAATTTTTGCAATTTGATCTGTAAAAAGATTAACGTCGTAATTATTACCAGGTGTTAAAACTGCATTTACATCCGATTTCAGAGTGGGTGTTCGAAGGCATAAATTGATGACGCTACCATCACCGCCAATCTGTCTAGCGAATGACACAATGTCATCCATGGTATCGTGTAAACGTATGTGGTACGATGCTAAATCCTGAGATCTTATTTCACTCATATTCAATGTCCTACGCAACGATACACTATTGAAACGAGGCCTTGGTAAAACATGATATTCGTTTACATTACCGCCATCTCTCAACAATGTTTCAATGTCTATCTGTCTTGTTGGCCTATGCCTTAAAGGCTCCGCAACATTTGAGGTTGATGGTTGTTCATCATCGACATTTGACTGGTGTGTTGATTCAATATCAGTCCTACCGTGTGTTGCATGGCTAGTTGAATGACTGTCGTCGTCATCATCATCATCAAAACCATCATCTGTCAGTTGGCTGTTAACAGTAGCAGAAGCACTAGTTTCCTGAGTGACTGCACCACCGCTCTGTTCACTGTTTAAAAAAGATTCAACATCTTCAGGCAAATTTAAATTCAATTCCTGTTCTATATACATTTCCAAATCATCCAGATTTGTAATTTGTGAAATAGGAATATTGTTAAATGTTATGTCTCTAGAATTTGGATACATATCTATCATATGCTGAAGAGATGAAAATATATCTTCATCTCTGTCTGCATCCATTTCGACACCTCTTTGCAGTCTAACAGATAGAGTTTGGTCTGGTTGAATATTGTATGTATCATCTGTACGATTTTCATCATCCATTGTAATTTTTGATTTATTTTATTATTATTTTACAAATATTTTTGCTAATGTTTATTTTATTTCAGACTTTTATGTTTAAATTAGTTTTATTGGTTATTTTAGAATTATTTTGTTTTGTTATTAGATTTATTTTATTGTTTAACTTTTTTCTTCTGTATTTTATTTATTGTTTTATTTACATTTATCGTTTATTTGATTGCTTAAGTTTTCATTTTATTTATATTTGTTGTTTATTTTAGGATTAATATTTACTGTGTTTATACAATTCAATCTTTATTTATACATATTTAACCATGTTATTAGAATTGGATGTGTGTCAATAATAGTAATACAATTATGAAGTAATGTATATGATTAGCTAGAATAAAACACAATGAAATATTTTATTACATCAATTTTAAAAGTTCAAACACTAAGTTCACAATAAAAACAAAGTCCAAGGAATACAAATTTAATATAGATCAACAGCAAAAGTTAAAACACTAAACAGCTGAGTCAATTTAAAGTTCATCAAAATGTTAAACTGAATTAAAATACATCGGTATTACATCAAATTTAAACTCATACACTAAACAAATGAGTAAGTTCACAATAAAACAATCACAATTGAATAAACATTTAATATAGATCAACAGTTAAACATTTAAGCCAATTTGGAGTACATCAAAATGTTAGCAGAATAAAACTTGAAAATGATTTTGTATTACATCAAATGTTAAAACACTATCAGTTAAATCAATTTAAAGTACATCAAAATGTAAAGTTGAATCAAAATACATTTGTATTACATCAATTTTAAAAGCTCAAACACTAAACAAATGACTAAGTTCGTAATAAAAAGAAAGCCAAAGGAGTACAAATTGAATATAGAGCAACATCTAAAGTTAAAACACTAAACAACTAAAGTCGATTAAAATTAGAAACGTAAGAAAAGTATAGCATTTATCAGAGTATAAAATATGGTCTTTTAAGTACTACAATGATGAATGATCGTACAGATGATGAGAATATTTATTATAGGAATTATTCATCCATCAATGAATGCCTAATAAAAATGAGTAGTTTCGTTATTAATCGATGCCCCCGTTCACTTTTACCCATCAATTGTTGAAGCTCCCCAATTTTTTCATCCATACGTCGCTGTTGCTCAGACAAGAAATCCTTGACATTTTCTATCACACGCTGCTGCTGGTCAATAGAATCCGATAGAGCATTAATTTTTACCTCATATCTGTCTAGATATTCACGAATCAGACAATAAGCAGGCGACTCGTAAAAGTCTTTGATATTGCTGTGTTTGCTGACGCTTCCGGCCTCCTGATTCTGCTGGGGGCGCTGTGGTCTTTCGACGTCTTCCGCGTCTTCTTCTTCTTCTTCTTCTTCTTCTTCTTCTACTGGTGCTTGAAAGGGATAAATCGGCTGATGTGCGCCTCCCTGAGTTGATTCATGATGACCACTGTTGAAAGCATCTTGTTCGCACCATGGATCTGTAATAAAAAGAAATCAAAATATTGTTTAGTATTGACTAATAAATATATAAATAATACTTAACAATAAAATAACATTCATTTGTTTTCATTCAACAGTTATTATGTTTATTATATTGTCATAATCAATTAAATAAATGGATCACTAACCTTCAGATAAATTAAAATTAATAGCAGAAGGATTTGGTTCTGATGGACTGGTATAAGGACTTAGTGGGCTAGCAAGAGGTGTCCATGGATCTGTGTGTGTGTGTGTGAAAATATGAAATTAATTACGTTACGGCTGTTATTAAGTGATTGAAACAAACAAACAAAAATAGGTTATTACCTGATTCTACGTCTTCATCATCATCCTCATTGCTATCGCATTCTTCTTGCACAGGTGTTTCAGAAATTTTTTGCCTTTTATTTACATATGGTGTGTAAACAATTCTTGGTCTCTTAGGGGCAGAAGCCCCCGACGCTGCATCAAACTTTTCTTCTCGCAATGATTCTTGTTGCTCCGCAATCTTTTCTTCTTCTTCTTCTTCCACCGTCAAGTCGATAACTTCAATTCTCGCTAAAATAGGTGAATGACAAAAATAAATAAATGCAAGTTATTACTCATTCCTACATTAAACAATGGTGATCACACACCCGTCAGCGCTGTGGCCTATGCTTAGCGCACTCGACCGGTGACCGAGCCCTCTCGCAACAGGAGGTTCGAATCCACTATACATCAAAAAGTTTAATTTGTTTTAAATAAAAAGCATACCTTTTTGCGTTTGATTATCAAACGTGTGACCCGAAGAGGCTATAAGAAAAAGAGAAACGTAAGTAACAATAACGATTAAATAAAAAACTATTGTCTAAATATGTTCAAAACAATAAATATAATTATGTAATAATACTTACAAATACGATTAATGGCATCAAAGGCGTCACTTTCGGAAGAATTTATTTCTGTAAGACAAAAGCTGTAAGAATGAAAATATACCAAACACTGATTAATGAGATAGTATACAAACCGCTAGCCAGATGAATAATATATTAATTTCTACTCACGCAATTCCATATCTTGTTCAGAAGTGGCAGAGTTGACCCTCTTCAGAAGTTCCAGACGTTATAACAGTGTAACTGAGGATTCAAGTTTACTGTGAAAAAGGTCTGTAAAGGGGCCCCCTTTTTATGTCAAATGTCAAGAGGCGTTGTCGTTTGTTTAAAAGCTGGTTCAGAACGATAAGGTACACCCAAAAATGAAATAAGTTGACCACGTCAATATTATACTTTATTATATGAAACTATATACAATCTAATAGATAGTTAAAACGTAATGATACAAATATTATGTAATGACTTTAATCTTACTGAAAAACACAAATGAACTTGGTGTAATGCTTTAGGTGTAGATATTTGTTATAATTATAAAAACAAAATTCTTTCGGTATTTTGACTGTTTAAAATTTATAACATACATTATTTCATACTCAAGATAACTATCATTTTGAAAGATTATAATAAAACATATTTTATTTAGTTATGTATGTGTATGAAAATTAAAAAATTATATATATTGTTGTATAACATTTGTATTCATATTCTATATAATTGGATGAAAGATAAAAAATAATAATTTATTAATGTGATAGAATATTTACATCTCATATTTTAACATTTTTGTTTATAATTATCATAGTCTTTGTTATTACCAATATTAAAAATACTTATATTACATAACATTAAATTAGTATACAATTTTTATTAAAAGTTAATACAATAAAACGTTGTATTCACAACTATTATTTGTGTAAATATGTTATATAAATGTTAAACAAAAACAAATTTTAATCTTATTACCGTTTGATCTTTATGTTATATTGTATTCAATAATAATACTGTTATAATTGTTAAACACAAAACCGTATGTTAATCATCTTATTACCTATTGATTGTTTATTATATTATATATTATATTAATGTTATACATATGTTAAACATATGTTAAACATAAAAACACATGTTAATTATCTTACTTTCTAATGAACATCATGTTGAAACGCTACACTATAAAGTAATAATAATAATATTGATACTAATATTAATACTATTAATAATAAATTATCTGATATATATTTTCTATAGAGTGCTTTAAGCCTTAATGAAAAGTGATCATGAGGCCCCCTCTCACTCTTCAGCCCTGTAGACTTATTATCTCTCTCTCTCTCACACACACACACACACACACACACACACACACACACACACACACACACACACACACACACATATGTGATATAGTGAAAAGTATATGGTAATAATTTATTAATTATATTATAATATATTAATTAAATAATGATTTTAATAACAGCAATTTAATTACCGATATTATTATATTAATTTTATTTCAGTCACACACACACACACACACACACACACACACACACACACACACACACACACATAGGTGATATAGAGAAAAGTATATGATAATAATTTATTAATTATATTATAATAATTAAATAATGATTTTAATAACAACAATTTAATTACCGATATTATTATATTAATTTTATTTCAGTTTGAATAATAAACAATAATATTAATGTTATACATATGTTAAACATATGTTAAACATAAAAACACATGTTAATTATCTTACTTTCTAATGAACATCATGGTGAAACGCAACACTATAAAGTAATAATAATAATATTAATACTAATATTAATACTATTAATAATAAATTATCTGATATATATTTTTTATAGAGTGCTTTAAGCCTTAATGAACAATGATCATGAGGCCCCCTCTCACTCTTCAGCCCTGTAGACTTATTATCTCTCTCTCACACACACACACACACACACACACACACACACACACACACACACACACACAGACGATATAGAGAAAAGTATAAGCTAATAATTTATTAATTATATTATAATATAATAATTAAATAATGATTTTAATATCAGCAATTTAATTACCGATATTATTATTATAATATTAATTTTATTTCAGTTTGATTAGAATTTAATTACCAATATTTTCATTACCTGGAAATAGGCTATTAATTTAATTAAAACGATAAAAATCTAATTACCGCATCTATTATTTTATATTAAACCGATAAAAATCTAATTACCGGAAACAATAATTTAATTAACCTGATAAGAATCTAATTACCGGAATTATTATTTTATATTAAACCGATAAGAATCTAATTACCGGAACTATAAAGTTTATATAAAAGGGGCGGGGCTTAGACCGGAAGTCCCGCCTTAGGGGGCGGGGCTACAATCCATCAAACTTTTTGACAGGTAGTCTATCATAATTCTCTCTCTTGTATCCACAATTTTTGAACAATGTTTTTCTCTTTATGACCAAAATGACAGAATATTCATTTATTCATTCATTCATTCATTCATTCATTTTCTTGTCGGCTTAGTCCCTTTATTAAAAAAAGGGGTCGCCACAGCGGAATGAACCACCAACTTATCCAGCACGTTTTTACGCAGCAGATACCCTTCCGGCCGCAACCGATCTCTGGGAAACATCCACACGCACACAAACACTCTCATACACTACAAACAATTTAGCCTACCCATTTCACCTGTACCGCATGTCTTTGAACTGTGGGGGAAACCGGAGCACCTGGAGGAAACCCTCGCAAACACACGGAGAACATGCAAACTCCTCACAGAAATGCCAACTGACCCAGCCGAGGCTCGAGCCAGGGATGTTCTTGCTGTGAGGCGAACGTGCTACCCACTGCGCCACAGCATTTCCCCAGTCTGTATCAGTAATCACCTGGAGGAAACCAGGCGAATTGCAAGGAGAACATGCAAATTCCACACTAAAATGCCAATGAAGCCGAGGTTCGAACCAGCAACCTTCTTGATGTGAGGCAACAGCACTACCTACTGCACCACTACGTTGCCAAAGACAAAATATTTAAAGGTTTTTACTGCCAATAGGGGATAAAACAAGGATATAAATATACCTGTGTGTTTGTTGACATCTCACGTTAAAGCATTTATGCAATGAATGTTGCATACTGTTAGAGCAGGGGTGGCAACCCTGTTCCTGGAAAGTCACCTTCCTGCAGATTTGAGTTGCTACCCATATCAAACACACCTGCCTGTAATTATCACGTGGTATTCAGGCCCTAATTAATTGGTTCAGGTGTGTTTGATATGGGTTGCAACTGAAATCCTCAGAAAGGTGACTCTCCAGGAACAGGATTAGCCACCCCTGTGTTAGGGTGTACTCAAAATTAGAGAAAAAAAATAGGTGAATCTTTTTTGAACACACCACTTTTGAAGCTCAGATATTTTCATAAAAGTCATGGTGCTGCAGGTAATAGTTTTGTTGAAGGTTGGCAGCTGAAGTGCAGTGAGGGGTTTGCGTCTTTGATAAACTATAACAGTTGTAACAACTACCTTTTTGAAGCATAGAGGTAAAGTTGGTTTTATATTCGCACACTCTGACTTTCCTCTTAATACTATAATTTCATAAAAGCATTATTTGCAAACTCTAAATAGCAAAATCATATTAGCAGCCAATTAATATCAAAGTACAACATTGTTCACAGTCAAATAAATAGTGCTAATGTTGTTTTCAAGTCACACTTTCAGAATATTTCCAACCGAATATTCAAAGTGCCATGGTAAACAATATAAGGAGCGTGTCACTGAACGAATGTGTGAAAATAAAACCAACTTAACCTCTATTTTGAAGCTACATTAAAGAAATTGAGAGACCACAAAACAACTTTCAGAGAGTCATGTGTATTTAGAATAAATGTATATGACAACAGGAATAAATAATTCTTGTTACACACTGGGGATATGACATAATCAGCAGTCAACTCATTAATGATCACTTTTCAATAGATATGAGCATTTGATAACAGTCCTTCCCATTAAAATCTTGAGAGCAAGAAAAAATGATACCATCAGTCCTTAAGTGAAGCACATGAAACATCGGTTTCAGCAAAACAGTTCATCAAGG